TTTTATTTTCCTTATTATATAAAAGTTTTCTATTTCGTCTTGTAACTATTCATTTCCGCAAAATGAGATTATTCACAATTGCAAACAATGAAACTGCGTGATAATAATTACAAGAAAATAATTAATAATCTTCACTAGAGGTGAAATAACTCGAGAAAAATCAATTCACCACTCCGATGAATTAAATCCAAATATCGTTTACACTTAAAAAAAAAATGTCAATTTCATGAATTCGAAAATTCTATTAAAAACTCAAGTAAATTGTGTTTATTTTTAAGGTGAGAATTCCGTCGTAAGAAATGACTCTTCAAATTCTCTCATCTGACTATCGAAATAATTCAATAATCATCTAAAAATGTTATAATCGACATTTCCCGGTTCGCAATTCGCCTACAAAATCAAAGAGACATACACTCCCTTCTGTCCAGTGTGAAACCCTGTAATAATAATTAATTGATTAATGCAACTCAGCGCCGATGTTATATTAAGGACACGATGATATAGATATACTTTTTCAACTTATTTATCCTTAAATTAACATTTGAATTTATCTTATAAAATTATGTACAACAAAGATGAATGAGATCTTTAGGTGCCACGTCTCCATTTTTCACCATTGCTAAATTTTGTCATTTCTTTACCACTGACACCACAAGTGCCTATTCCAACTCTACCCTTGACATTCTCAGGTGTTGCAAATATACTTTTCTTCACGACTCCTTTCTTCGCCGACTGAAACAGTACAACAATATAAAAAATTATTATAAAATAAAATCAGATTAAAACTTGTAGGTTTTAGAAATATTTGGCAAACAATCTTAAAAACGAATTTGAACATTGAAATACTCTGGGTTCCTCTAAATCAACATATATTTTTATCTCCCAAGGTCTCTGTGTTTGGCAGAAAGCTATAGAAGTACAGTAGAGTAATCGGCGAAAGAGAAACCGTTGGAAAAGGGAATCGAGCTATTTGAATTTTCTATCCCTCGATTTCGTTATTTTCTCGGAAGAGATTGAGATTT